ATCTTTATTTTGATTAATCTTCGAAATCTTAGTGTCAATGGAGCGGCGCCACATGATCTTTATGAGACGGATAAGAAATGGGCTTTATATTTCGTGCCGAATGGTACAGCAAAGGTAAGTAAAGCATGTTTTGGTATTTTCATACATTAGAAGAATGCAGAAACTATTTAGAAAATTGCATAATTAACAGAGTAAAACTTATTTGATGAGCACTACCGCTTCACAGGACATTGAAGATATTTTTGATCCTTCTAGTATTAGGGAGGATAAAACCGTGCGTTCAGGCAAGTGAGAAAAAATTTCTGAGCGCCAAGAATTCTCTGGGTAGCCAAAAAATAAGTGTTTGAAGGCGATCTGAAGCGAGAAGGCGCCACGTAAAAAACCACCCGCAATAAAAAGGATAAAACAGCCTTGGTGTTGTAAACTCGGCTATAAAAAGAAAAAGTATCTAGGAGGCAACGCTAAAAACGGTTGGGCTCAGACACCGCATCTTACTGAAGTAACTCAAGGAGCTAGTTTGATAGCATAACAGGGAGTATGTGATTTATTGGTATATGGAAAGAACTTTAACCCCCCGGTGGTAATAGCATTTCGGTCAACGTTTTCTCCGATATTTCGGAATATGAAAAGAGTAATAGTTTCCAACCAGTTTTCTAACGCCAATGCTAGTATATTTTTTCAGAAATATTTCTCGCAGTTACCTGCTTGTAACTGAACCGCCTCAAAAGAACCCCAATAGTTAATTCTTACAGTACGTTGACGACATTCAACACGTAACGGTTGAAACGTCTGACGCGATGAACTTTGAATAGAAACTAAACGTCATACACAGTCACCTCCTTTGCCCGTCTCCCGGTCAATGCTGGTCTGGGCGTCAAATCAACCTACAGTAGAACAAGAGCTTTGAGTTTGAGTTGTCTCAATCAATTCGTGCTGGATGCTGAACTAGGCTAAACTCATACTTATACAAAGTTGATTTGGACATACTGAAACTAAGTAATGGCTGCATGAGGTTGTTAGTAACCTCTTTGTATGACCCATGAAACGTATAGATCCAACACCCCGGATCCTCGGACCCTTCCAGATTTCTGAGATGACGTTGCGTAATCAATACTTTAAGGTTATCCTTAGCAGTGAGGTTGAATGAAATGACTTTAGAGCTACTGCTTAGGGATAGTACAATCAAGTGATACAACGACGGCTCGAAAACGTCGGAGGGAATTGGTGCAGGAGTCGCAGGACCACACACCAAACTCCATACCTATGAGAAGTTTTCCGAGCATATTCCAAACAGGGGTCATTCTTATAATACCGCAACCATAGCATAGATATTCTCGGCGACAGTCAAGCGGACCTTAAAGCGATATCTGCGTACGAGATCAAATCGTATCAATTCTATTGTTGCAGGAGTGTATAGAACGGCTGAACAGTATATCAGATCATAACCAATTCCACCTTATCTGTGTACCCGGACACACAAAATTATAGCCGGGAATGAACTGGCTGATGTGCTCGATGATGCTCCGCAGCATTCAACAATTTGGTAGGACCCGAACGTTTCATTGCAGTTGGTCCTCGAACCATAAAGGAGGTGCTCCGCAAGAATGAAGGAGTGGGCAGGGAGGGGTATTGACAACAAATATAAGGCATGTGCCATGCCAAGGATGGTTACAATCTTACAAATATGTAAACAGCATTTCAAGGGACAAACTCAGACTACTTGTCGCTTTCTACACTGACCATTGTAAGCTCATGAAGCAAGCGCATACATACATATGTTACATGGGCCTTGCTGCTTGTGGAAATTGCCGGTTCTGCGACATGGAGCTTGAAAATCCAGAACACCTGCTAATTGACTGCACAGCAGTCTGTAGGCGCAGGATAAAGGCCCTTGGATCCATGTTTCCAAATAGGGATCACATCACCTCAATAGCAAGTGGCAATACTATATATTGGAATTTGTCAATATTCTGGGGCTAAGTGAGTCGTTGTGACTTAGGAGGGGATACGAAAAACCTTAGGTGGCGGTGCAATCCTCTTTTATTTATCTAATCTATTCTATTTCATTTATGGTCCATCAAGGTTTTCATATTTTCAAACGAGGAATATTTCGGCAGCGACTTTAATGCACAAATAGAGTGGGAAGACAATCAGAAGGTTGAAGCACGCATCTCCAAAAAGAACACGTACACCACAGATGACGCACGACAACTAACAATTGGGTAAGTGTGGGGTATAATAAAATATTACCAAATATTTCAGATGAACTGCTATAAGAATATAAAAATTGTAATCACAGTCAGCGGAAATGCATCTTCTACGACGAGGTCAAATTGCAATACTTCCCCGAGGGTTACACATTCTCCTCCTGCATGAAGGAGTGTCGCATGAAGCGCGCCATCAAGTTCTGCAAATGCAATCCACCATTCTATAAACCGATACGTAAGTGTATCAACTATTAATGAGGCTCGAATTGAAATGCAATTCGGAATTATTTTGCAGCGAGTGTGCCCACATGTGGCGTGTCTGATCTGTTATGCTTGGAGAAGAATAAGGCGAACATTACGAACATACGGAATTGCATGCAATGTGAATTAAGTTGTTCGAAGACGGTCTTCAATATTGAGAAACTGATTAAAAAGTACGTACACAGGCTAAAATAAATTTTAATTACTTTTTCAAACTATTTTGATTATACAAGTCAGACATTATGTATTTCATTTTTCAGCACCGAAAAGAGCGACGATACTGGCGTTTTAGTGGAATTTCTCACGTGGCCTATTATACGTTATAAACGAGAGGTACTTTTCGGTTGGGTGGATCTATTGGTGTCCTTCGGTGGCATTGCAAGTTTGTTTCTGGGTTTCTCGCTGCTATCTGGTGTTGAAATTATTTATTATTTCACATTAAGAGCCTGTTGCATGGTCTACAAAAATAGGGTAAGTCGAAAGCAAGCCTCGAGAAGTTGGTGTACTAGATATTAAAATTAAGTAGTCTTTCTGTTGGCTCCTCAACTTTCTCGGTCCAAGGCAACATAAAAGCCTTTCCGTTGCCTCCTCAACCTTCTCGGTCCAAGGCAACATAAAGACCTTGTCAGATAATGTTGGTTACCACCAAAGAAATATTTTCAGCAAAACATAACTTGTAGTTGCAGCTGCAAAAAATTTCCCTGAAGTAATTTTGAGGAATGTTAATAGTCTTGGCGGTATGAAACGCGAATCTGTTTCGGTTTAACTGCCGTGGGAACGATGCACCACCAAAGATCAGATTGGTCTAGACTCAACCCTGACAAAGACAATTTGCACGTTCGTCCATCACGAAGCTAGTCGCATTCCTCTCAACCCCTTCCTTTCAAGATGCTTATACAAACACAGTTGTTGTTGCCACGACTACTGCCGAGTGGGTTATAAAACAGCATATTCTCTGGTAACACAGACTCTATCCTTTTAGAAATAGCCAATTATACCTACAATACAGACGAATCCCAAAACGTATGCTCATGTATATTTGATGACAGTGTCTCGATTTCTAACTTTTAACCGGATATAGAAGCAGTATTGCAAAATTCATGTTTAAGCTTTTAATAACAGAACGTAATTTTCGATTCTATTTTGGCATTGTTTTAATTTTTTTCATTCCAGCAAGAATTATATGAAATCGAAGAGGAAATCAAAAGAAGACCGCCACCAGCAATTAATCTTTCACTGCGCATCATGTCCTATATTTCAAAGCCTGCACCACCCGGTGTAAATCATAACTTGCTCCGGAACAATTTGAATGACAAACAATGTAACGAAAAATCCATTACACTGAGTAAACGAAACAATTTTAATATGAATGTACCAGAAAACATCAAGGAGCTCAACCGGCGTCGCAAAGCCGATAAGGTAGTATAGATATTTATATTACTTAACGAAATACATTTTAAATATCCAATAGGACTATACCGGATATTCAAAATCACTATACAAATCTCCAAAGATAATACCGCAATACAACGATTCGAACGGCGACTGGAAATATGGACAATATCTCCCGTAATCATGAAAACATAAACGATTTTACAAAAAATCCATGCAGTTGATATCACGATATCAGAAAATGAAAAAAAAATATGAATAATTAAATAATAATGTATTAAATACTCACACAAATTTAAATTGCACATACTTATTATCAGCAAAGTTTTAAAGTTCCATCATTGCAAAGGTCAACAAGTATATTTGGACAGTATATTTTATATAAACAGTTTGCCTTCAACATTATGCTTAACGTTTTTCCAAAAATTACACTAATAAAGTTTTATCACAGCACAGAAGAGTTTATTTTAATAATTTTCACAACTTGCTGAAATTCATTCTAGAATCTGAATTGGTTTGCCGCTATTTGCGTCTTCTTTTATAAATTGCATCATGCGACATCTGCTGGAAGCACCATTTCAGCTGTTTTCGAATCCAATGCATAGATGTCGCATGAAGCGCTCCACAAAGAAGAGACGCAAAAAGTAAAAACAACACAAATTACAAAGTCGGTTGATGGAATGTGAATGAAACGGTAAAGCAAAAATTAGAGAAGCTGAAAAGTTCAAGAACTTGCTCTACTTGGATAAAAGTTAACGTTAAAATATATTTTTAGTGCATTAAAAAGGAAATATGCAGAAATTAGAATACGATTAATTAAACTAAGCCAAAAACAATTGAACCATATTGTACGGTTAGCAAAGGGTGGTGGCTACTAGAGTGTGTTGCGCTTTGGCCTGCTAACACTTATTTTTTTACCTGGCAAATTGTGAAACTTGTCAGTTCGCAAAGGCATTGCGATTATTGTTAATTAAAAAGTACGTAAACCGAAAGCAGGTTAATTTCAATAAGATTCAGTGAAGTATTGCAACGTGTATTGTGTAATTGCGCATAAAACAAAACGTGTGGTGTTCAGACAAGTGAAACAAAGTAAATATAAATATTAGGTAAAGAGGTATAAGAGGTGCACGCGGAGCGGAGATGCCCTTTTATGGACTCTATATACCCGGAAAGGAAGGTAAACAAATTTTTCGCATTTTTAATCGAAAATATGAATATGTGCAATTGTTGCGGTGATTCGAATATAAAAAATAAAAGTATTTGGGAATGTCAGCCCAAGCAACCAACTTTTACAATATTGTATTTGTTTCCATGCTTATGTCGAAGTATCCATATTTTTAGAAGTACTGGCTAGCTCATTGAACTTTGATAATATCTATTCGCAAATAATTTGTACAATATTTTCTTTGTTTGTTGCAAAAGGCACTTGCACAGCTAACCGGCTTTCAGATGTAGTGGCAGGTTTTTGAAAAGGCATACGTCTTTGTACATATTTGTAGCTATATTTATGTATATGTATGTCAAAGTATCGCTGAGCATCTATGCACCTAATTAATATTATGTTAATTATTTATTTCAGCTAGTTAGTCTTAGTTACATGCCAATTATGATACTATTCAAGGAAATATAATATTTATTAAAACTCAATTATTGATGTTATATGTATACCAATAGTTAATAATAAAGTTAAAAGAGATAAAACAAAAACACATTGTTCAAAATTTATCCATATTTCGTATGATCGAAAACAGCTGCAAATAAATGTCGTATCTTTATCTAGTAAATAACATACATATGTACATATATGTTGTAAGTATAAATAAAAGTATGTCAGTAAATATTTTAATATAAATGTATGTACATATACATATGTAGATACACTTCTTCTTCAACTGTAAATAAAATTGCATTATCTGTTTTTATTTATAACAAGTATTCAGCTACTCATATTAACACCCTGGTATTAACATATTTGGATCACATTTTTTTATACATACAATGAGATGCGTTAATTTGTAATTTACATCTGTAATTTTGCCTGTGTTATATATAGTAAACAATTTTTAATTACTTTAGAGCTATTTTCTAATTGCTATTCATTTGAGTACGTCTTGTGTTGTTTAAAACGGGTGTGCTCAATAACATCGACATCACGATGACGTGATGATTCGCGATTTGATGACGAAGGGGAGTGTCATTTCAATTAAAATAAAGTACAAATAAGTCATAAAAGTTTCCAGAAACTGCGTTACAGTTGTAAACACATTCGTTTCCATTTACATAAAATATTAAGGCTATTATTTGCATTTGTAGAAATATTTTGTTTATTTCTCATTTGTGCAAATGTAAAAATATAATATGATAACAATAAAGTAATACATATATACAGCCCATTTTAGTTGATATTTAAAAAAATCCGAAGGTCTAATAAACTTACATATGTAAATAAGTTTAAAAATACTCATAGCGTTTCAAGCGCGTATGTAGTGTTGAGCACCAGCTTCTACAATATTTTAGCATAATTATTAACAAATTGTCGAAAATTACTTTTTGGATGTAGTACGCATGTTCGTCAAATCAAAAACAACAATTACACCATCCCATAAACCTCTCTCACACATTGACGTATTGAATATTAATTGACGCGGCTTTAGCCTCTGCCATCAACCATATGTTTGTTTCCAATGTTTTTGTTTTGATTTGGTTTTATTTATCATATCGCATTATTGTTTTGCACCTGTTTTCTTTGTTTGATTTCGCTAGCACTATTCACTCGCACTTTTTAATTATCGTCTTTACGACACACTCTGCTTGCTATATTAAGCGTGCTCGCGTCCGCAGCGAATTTTTGAAAATTTGCCAACAATTTGTGATGTGGTAAGAAAACACGCGATTTCGGCGTTGTATACCATTAAAAAGAAAAAGGAAACGATTAACGGTTGTCTGACATGATCCCAACACAATTTACAGTTTTAATTGTTGTCATGCAAATATAATGACCCAATCCTCATGTGCATCAATCTTTGTCTCTTTATAGCTGATATTCCACATGTGTATTGTAACAAGAGCGAAGCGCTGGATGTGCTGAAACTGCACAAGGAGGCACGTTTACGTGAATTCAATAATGAAAACGATGCAAAGAAATTTGCCAACACCGGGCATGAAGTGGTGGCGCCACCGCGTCACGCCGATGGTAAATGTATGTATTGCGGAAACAACACACGTTATGAATTATTCTAATATCTCAATAATTTTCTTATCATAACAGCATCCATTGCAATGGAAAAGGCGGCATTTCGTGGGCCAACCAAACAGGAACTTATAGAATTTCGCAAAGTAATCGAGTCCGGCGATTATGAACGTGTCAAAACGATGATTTGGGATAATCCACGTTATTTGGTGAGCGCTGGCGATACACCCACCACACTAAAGGAGGGATACCGTTATAATGCTATGCACATTTGTGCAATCTCCAGCAAACCGCGCATTGCTGAGTTGATTTTGAAAACCGTAAGCGATACAAAATTTGTGGACTTGCTTACGGGAAAGAAAAACGACGAAAAAATGTGCAAGGAATTGTGTGTGAATTTATTGGATTACTATTTGAATATACCAGAAAAGGGGCGTAGTGAGACGCCGCTACATTTCGCGGCGAAGACCGGTGCATTTGAAATGGTGGAGCTGTTGACTACTTTCCCGGAATGCAAAATGACACCCAATTCGGAGGGCTTATACCCCAAAGATGTATGTAATACAATTTTAGCGTGTTTAGATATAAAATTAATGTATTTTTGCTACAGATCATATGTTCACGGGTGCCAAATGCCACGCCAGAATTAAAAAAGAAGATTGAAGCATTGCTCGAGGAACGCTTTTACGTGCCCGTTTTACGCTCTGTGGACAATGCGGTACCGCCGAAAATTGGACAGCCGTTTTCTGCCAGCAATCCACCGGTAAAACAACAAAATATTTTCAGTTTTTAATTACGTGCAAATTAAATTTTAATTTAAAAATTTTTCAACATTGCACTTTTCTTATTTTTTTTTTTTTTGTTTTTGTAAAATTGTTCAAATTTTTAATGTTTTATCTTTTTCTTAAATTGTTCTTGCTTTTACTTTTCAATTTCTAACCAGAACCTCAACTGTGATCCACTGAGCCCTGAGGTTAAAATAGAAGCTTTAGCCGGTCCAATGAATAAGGATCAGGCCAACGTAAGTTTTGTATTATTTTATTGTACAAATAACAAAGACTTATGCTTATTGTCCTTTAGCAATTCTGCCGTCGTTGGAAAACACCACCACGCCTCGGTAGTAACGCTGGTTTGTCGCCAGTTACTTATAATCTGTATATTTCGCCCGTTAAAACGCGCTGCGTTAACGGTACGCCTTCTAAGACATCACTGGCTAACATCAGTAACGGCAGTCCTACGCTCAGCACACCGCTCGCAAAAGCCAACCGTCGCGCCTTATTCAATTCCACGCCACGTCGTGCGAGTTGTGAAGTAGTTAGCGAAAATGGTGTCACCAATGACACATCTTCGATAGCTGACAAACAGAATGGCAATCATAAGAATCATGTGGAAAGTGTCGAAACAAAAAATACTACCTCGAATTCCACAACAACAACAACAGCAATCGAACAAGAAAAGAACAATAATAGCCGTGAACAATTAACCTCGCAGAGCAAGGACATCAATATTTTAAAGAATTTAACATCGCAAAATACACCAGTGTTACAAATGAAACGTGAGCTATTCTTCACCTATCGCGATCCTAATCCTAGTACACCAGTTGAGCGCAAAACACCCGAAATTAGCCCCGCTATGCTCGATGAGCTGGATATTAGCGCCATTGGCGAAAATAACGAAAACCAGCCGTTGGACCAGCCACAGCAGCAGCAAGCAATCAAATTAAAAGGCAGCATGTTGAAGACGGCGCTGTGCCGCAAGATGCCGCTTATAAAGGATAATTTCAACACTTATCGTGATAATAGTACGGCTTCCACACCAGACTCGGACTGTTGTAATGATTCGATACGCAGCTTGTTGTTGAACGAGCCCGAACATTATGACAGTCCGGGTTTCAAAGAGCGACACATCAAAATCACAGATACCGAAAAGGGCTTGGAATTAATTGGACGCGAATTGGCAAAGGAACAGAATGTCGAATGGCGGGAGTATTGGGACTTCTTGAACTCGTTCATCAACATCGCTTCTGAGGATGGCTTGACCAAACTCGAAAACTACTTCGGCCAACGCCTCAAAGATGAGGAGATGACAAAGAAAACAGCGCAAGCAATGGCGAAATCGGCGGTAATTTTAGACAGCGTTTGCAATGCCATCGATAAGTTGCATTTTCCGGAAAATGGCAGTTTACATGATTTTCGTAATGGTTTCAATAATGATCGAACGCGCTACGCCAACATGACTGGCAGCGGTGAGGTCGCCACAACGGCGCCACAGTCCACAACGCCCTACACATGTGTTGAGAAATCGGTGCAAGTGTTCGCCAAACGCATGACAAAAACCATTATACACAACATGGATAACATGGTGTCCATCAATGACACACTTCTGTCTGAATTGAAAAGACTGAAATCGTTAATATGTAGTTTTAAGGAGGATACACGATTCCTAAATGTCAATTTCTCCAAAGTACATTCAAGAATTGGCAATTTAATTTCCATCTATTTGGCCAACTCACAAGAGGTCACGCCAGCAATGAAAGTTAAAGTGAGTAGAGAGCCTTAGCATAATAAATAACAACAATAATAACTAATAAATATTGCATTCGATAGCTTCAGGGTATTATCAAACACATGCTTGCGCCCGGCGAGCGGCGCGAACACATCGAATGTGTTTGTTGGCGAATACTTAACATGTTGGAGTCTCCAAGTAAGTGTATTTTCCAGTTGTAAAACAAATATTTACACCAAAAAAATTATCTACAATTATCCACAATTACTTTCAGCTGCTCAAATACTGCCCGAACAGCTGAAAACCGAAGAGATGTGTTCGCACGAGTGGGAGAAGGAGCGTGAATGCGAGTGCCAATGGGAGACGAATCTCAGTCGCAAAACAAGTCGACGAAATCGTATGGAGGCGCGTTACCGCAGTCATCAACAAGCTAGACAACATCATCAACAACAACAGCAACAACAAGATACACAGAAATCGCAACAAACTAATGCAGATAATGGCATTGAATGGCGTGATCCTTTGCCATGCACCGACGCAGAGACCGTCTCACTTAATGCCAAGAATGCCAAAGAACAGTGGCGCGATCCCGTCGATTACAATGAAGGCGGCGAACGATGGCGCGATCTTAATATACGCGATGAGTCGCCAGACAACGATGTTTTTTGGGTACTTAGCATATTGGTTTTAAGTATAAGAAAGTTATAGGAAACTAAAATTTTAGTGTATAATTTTTTTTTTTAAATAAATTCTTATATAGTTAACCCAACCCTGTTATTAGCTTATTAATGCGCGTTTGTTTGTGTTTTTTTTTTCAGTCCGATTTTGGTGACACTGATTCCGACAATGAGGAGGAGGTGTGGGCCACGCCACCCGAAAGTCCATCTCACTGGAGTCTATTGGATGAGCCTGTGGTGGAGACATTCAAAATATTTATTTATGGGTAAGCAATTAATTCAGCATGCAAGTTGGGGATCTTAGTGGTAAATAACCTATTGTAAGAACTCGATTAACAAGGCTGTCGTGGGAGAGCCTTTGCAGATGACGTAGCTCTCATAGTGATAGTAAAATACCTAGATGCAATTGACGAGTTGACACAAGGATATCTCAATGTGGTAGCTAGCTGGACGGAAAAAAATTGTTTAGCTGTCAATCCAAATAAAACTAAACTGGTTTTATTTACCAGGAGGTATAAAATTCCAGATGTACACCTTCCTTATTAAGTTGCTCTCGCCTTCGCCCTGTCGAAAAGGTGAAGTACTGAGGCTCAGCCTTGATAGACGAGGGTGACGAAGATATTGGTTGCCTTGACGTGTTGGGAAGCGATGGGGATTCTCACTAAAAGTGGTACTTTGGTTTTACGAAACTGTAATTAAGCCAATAGGAGTAGAGGCGCTATGAGCTTCTTCATGAATGGATCGAAGCTGAAATGGAAGTTTGGAGGGGGAGTCTTCTCTCAGACATATCTGTCTGTAATGGCTCGTTAACACTGAGCTCAAAGCTAGTCAAGGAGTACCTGACCTCAGCAGCTGTAGCAGAATTGACGAAAACTGTAAAACCGATAAGCTTGCAAGAAAGGGCACGTTTACCCAAATCACATAAGGTTTGGAATGAGCAAGTATTTCCCTGTCTTTGTGCACTTGTACCTGGAAAGCATATTAGCCGACGCAATAAATTCGTTTCACGCTCTAGGCGCTTTGTCGATATGCCACAGACTTTTTGATCCATATCTAGAAGTCCTGGGCATTGCAAGGGCAGACGTCTCTAGCTGTCCAAGTGGAATTTTTAGTGGCCTCACGAAAACATCTTAAAGGGAACGTCGGTGATAATATAAAAACTGTAACTTGAATAAAAATTGAGATATCTCCACCATGGCAAAGAACAAAAAAAAAAAAAAAAAACAAGGACGAGTCCGTAGATGGGCGTAAACAAACCCATGCCATAAAGCTACAATAACCAAAATTGTGAAAATGAATGAAATTGGAAGGTAACCAGCTTCACTCCCAATATAATGGTACTGTTAAAAACTACTAAAAGTGCGATGAATCACTAACTAAACATTGGAGAGACATTAAATCTTGCTCCCCAGATGGTATGAAAGGGTTTTATAGGAGCCAGGGTCAAAATTTATTGATAAAGATTTTCGAACTTCGGAGTGATTTTATACCGCATACATATCGGGTGATTTTTTTGAGGTTAGGATTTTCATGCATTAGTATTTGACAGATCACGTGGGATATCAGACATGGTGTCAAAGAGAAAGATGCTC